TTTGCTTTTTTGTTTTATACTGTTTCCAAACTCATTTTAACATTTTAAGACATTGGAAAAATTCAAAAATATTTAATTTGTAATAATCCTTAACATTTTCTGCTTTCTCTAATTAATTTGTCATTGTATTGGTTACATTTCTGCCATATTTTTATTTAAAATTATACAGGCTAACCAGTTGTGGTTTTCTTTAATGGTCTCTGTCTCCCCTGCCCCAAAAGAGTCTTTCTTTGATGAGGGGCGAGAGCTACACTTATTTGCAGGTGTGAGGGTATTATTTAATATACAATTCGAGATTATATTGCTTTGGGGAAGTGGTAGTAGTGGGTAGTAGTAGGTCCCATGGCCTCACTAGCATTGGTGGTTTTCTAGGCTTCCAGGACCAGACATGAATTCCTTAAAGTCTAATTAACCAGTGGCGACTTATTGCCAAGATATAAGTGCCACTATTGCACTTTTTGGGCATGTCTTGTCATGTTGGTCATTGTTTGGCTTATAGTTGTCATAGCTGGGTAGGCCTATGGATCATTTTTCTCCTTTGGCAGTGTGCACAACATCTTTCAGTATGAAAGCTAGTCCTAGGGAACCTGACTTGTGAGAGCCAGATCCAGATTGTATCTGGAGTGAATGGTGTCTTCAGTAATAATGCAGAAAACAACTGACCATGAGGTACCTAGCCTAAATTTATGTAACTACACACAACCTGGCATCAAAGGCACAGGAAATATCAAACATAATGAAAGAGGGGGTGAATAATTGTAAGAGCCATAGCACAAAATCTCTGCTGCAATATCGTGTCTTGTATATAGGACAGGAAAGCTGTACCCATAAAATTCTCAACAATATGGTTGCCTGAACAATGACAGCATCAGTTGATATGCCAGTGTGAGTAAGGGAAATCACATAAGTCTACACCCATATATAAAGAGTGGCAATTAATGACTACCGAGAGAGCATCTGTCTTCTCCAGGGATGACCACCCCACCAATTGGCTATTCAGTACCAAGTAATTAGCCTTACAAATGTGTTCATAGCAAGCAACACTAAGTAGACTCAGCAGATTGCTAACCAGGTTCCCCTCATTCACGTTGATTCAAATATTGGATTCATATGTTATATGCATAGTTTTCCAAATATTGCAAAGTAATGGTATCTGTGTGAGATTCTACCCTATTAACTAAGCACTAGCTCAGTTGTGAAAAAGCTAAGACTAGTTCCTTTATAGACAATCCCTTAAAGCACCAGTTGTCTTCTATCCTTCAGAGTGAAGAGTAGGTATCAATTACTAGCAAATAAGAGTCCTCCAGCTTCCCAATAACAGTGATTACATAGGAAGCCGACTGAGACATTCTTTCCACCTTACTTTGAAAAGATCAATTTGCTTTCCTTTCTTTATTTACTTCTCATCAAAATGCTAATAAATAATTCCTTTCAGTTAAATTCCTGTAGTTTCATCGAAACTTGTAACTCTATACTTTATTTTGAAGCTTAGCACCCCAAATATGGTAATCCAAGTTACATAATTACGTTAGTTAAGTGGAGTTTTCTGCTCTCCCCTGAAGCATGGCATCTGCAAAGCAGAATGCATTCTATCAGATTTGCCACGAAGAGCTTTGCTCTAGAGACAAAGAATGTGATTGCTGTCTTTACAGCCTATTTTTTTTTGATTGGCTAGATTTGTTTTAACTTAGTATATGAACCTGATATATTTATGCTAAATGTGTTGTAGATGAAAAATGAATATAACACATCAAGAAATTTAGCCTTTAGTAAGGCACACAATAAATTTTGCTTCCAAAATTCCAAGGTCATTTTTGAAAGTATGGTAATTTATGGAGATTTTAATACTTTATCTTTATGATAACCTTTTGTTAACCATATTATGAGTATTTTTCAAAATACTATAGGAGAATACATCATACTTATATTAATTGTATTATTACCATTTTTGTGTCATACCTTCCTATAAATTATTTAACCTAATTTATGCTTCCAAAAAACTTTGTGAGGTAGGAAATATTATTATTGATATTTTAAAAACTGCCAAACAAAGCCTGAGTGAGATTAAGAGAGTGAGTTAAAGCTGGGAGTGGTAGTAAACTCCTATATATCTCAGCTTCACCCCACCCCCGCACCCCTCCTACCCTCTGTCAGGAATACAAAGGAACAAGGTTTGGTAGCACTAGGATGTGATTCTCCATGGCTTGGTTTCAAGTTCATAGTTTGCTTCCTTGGTGTGACTATGTACAGATTAATGACACTCAAATATCTTGGTTATACATAATAAGTAAAAGGGAGGTAACAATAATACCTCCTATAATAACTGAGAAGATTAAAATAGAGAGCCATTTTATACTTAGTTCATTGCCTAGAGCTGGTAAACATTTCAAATTATTTCTATACAGTGCTTCTCTGCTGTGTAAGACATGACAACTTCGTTCTTACAATATTGTCCACAATGAGACATAGCAGTAATCCATGAATGGTAATCAAATGATTCTATTCAAGTCACGCAGTTATTCAATGGAAATGTTTAAGCTTGTCTCAAAGTCTCCTTTATTGTCCCAGAATTTTCTGACAGTAATCACTTATTACACTTATTACTTATTTATTAAGATAAGTTGTAGGAAAACATGATAAACAATTAGAATTATAGAGAGCTGTTCTCAATAGGAACTTTGTAAGGGTTCTAACTGCCTCACTTGGTCTGTTTCTTTCCCACTGTCCCATGATCAAATGAGCCTGATCATGTAGAGTTTTCTGGGGCATTGAGAAAAATAAATCTGACAGGGACATCATTGTAGACTATTCCTATAAGGGTGCACAGCATCACACAGCACGTTACACATGCATCTTTTACATACTTATCTTTAAACTGTTTATTTGGCACATCAACAGGCAGCTGGTGGAACAAATAGGAAATCGTGGGAAGCACATTCATTTTTAAAGTGTTAATGTGCCCAATCCAAGAGACAGTAATGTGCTTCCATCCGTTAAGATCCCCTTGAATGTTTTGGATTGGAGAACCATAATTTAAATGAAATGCATTATCCAACCTGGAAGGTATTCCACATCCTAAATATTTAATTGATTTCTCCATCAGGGGAAGATGAGCCTACACAATAGGCAGATCCTATCTTTAAGTGTCCGATTAATAGTGTCTCTAATTTAGGGTAATTTAGGAGTTTACAACTTATAAAATGGCTCTGTCTTCCACATCCCTCCCAAAGTACCAAGAGGATTGTGCCTGGATTAATTGCAAACAGCAGACAACCCTCTGTGCATAATGAAAACTCAAGAGTCAGCATCATCAGCCATGCACCTATAATTTGGGATCTCATCTAAGTATTTTTCACCAGGGGCTTCACTTCCAATGGAAACTCAAGTAGCGGAGAAGGAAAGTTGTAATTGTAGAGTCTCCCAATTTAAAAAAGTTTAACAAGTCAAGTTCATTCCTGCTGAGTTTTACTTAGTTGGGTCTTAGCTAACTGAGTGAGGAAGATAAATCAAGCTACTTGCAGATTTTCCTAATGGTGCAAAGTTTGGCATCCCAAGGACTGGGGTAGCATTTATTCCTGCACTTTGAAAGAAGAGAAGTGGAACAAGACTGCCTTGGCTGTGGCCCTATGTGAGTGATTGATTACCTTCTACTCTACTTACTCAGTTATGTCCAGATAAGCACTTAAGTGCTGGAAGTTTCTGGTCATTTTCTATTGAAGAAAGTATAAGGGAAAAACCTTAACATTCTCACAAAAATCAGTTCATCCAAGTCAGGATTATTTGATGAGTTTACTAGGAAATGATAAAATGTTCATTTCTAAATATAAAAATAACTTTGAACTGTACCTATGTGTGTCTACTTTTGACATTGTGAAGTCTGTACAATTCCACCTGTTTGTAGAGGGAAAGAAATGGGTGCTCTGCTGCTGAGCTTCATTTAGGGATTTGAAAGAAGAAAATAATAAATAAATAAATGAATAAAATCAATAGTATATCAGGTATATAATATTTAGTATTGAGTATATCTTTCCTGTTGTACTTTGTCTCTGTCTTCTTGAAGAACTACTTTGTAGACAGCTTAATTTTTGTTCAAATATAAATTAGAATCAATTTTCTGGGGAGAAATAATCAGTGTAGCTCCTGTTCTCCACAACAAAGAAATTACATTTGTAGACATATTCTAGAAATTTAAATCCCCCAGTACTCCTTTGAGAAAGTCCAAGGAGATTTGAAGACTGACGGTTTTGTACTTTGCTATTCCCAGGGGCTCATGCGTGATCATCTTTACTGAGATTTATTCCCATCCCTGCTGAATTAATATGCATTTTAGTTAACTAATCTTGAAACAACAGGAATAAAGTTTATCCAGGTCTTTTATACCTCAGAGAACAAAACAAATACTACAAATCTTTAGAGAGAAAGGATATACAAAAGGGCTTGAGGTGAAGATTTCAAAGCAAATACTCTTTAAACGATGTGCAAATTACCTCGGAGTTTGAGCATGATTTATGAAAGGGGATTAGCCCACTGGAATAAGAACCAAGTTTAAACTGATGGGTTTCAAAGTCAAAGATGAGAAGTAGTTGCAAGACAAGGAAGGAGGGAAGCAACAATAATTTAGGGAAGTGATTTGGTTTAATTTTTCCCCTGAATGGATTTGCCTTAGATTGTCACAAATTACTGTTGCTAACTGCAGTATAAACAGTGCATTTATGCTTTAATTTTCCATAAAGTTTGAGTTTAATAAATGAGTAATTCTCTGCTTATCATACTAAAAATACAATCAGAAACTTTTAAGCAATGAAAACTACTGTAGCTAGAAGGGTCAACTTGTGAAAGTTTTGAGGGAGAGAGCATTTTCTTTTCAATTCACAAAGTTATGTACACACCAGCAGAACACAGACACTCCAGGACTCCAGTATGCTCATCCAGTGCAGTTTAATAGCTTCTTGGAAAACATATGAAGATGACTTTCATATCATCACAAATATTGTTATGATAGAATTTGTGTGTGTTTGTTCAACGAGTGGACAAAGGCAGATTAGACAGGTACAAAATTAAATGCTCTTGTGCAACCCAGAATTTGTTTTTCAGTATAAGTTTTGATATATACTAGAAAAAGTAAGACCGAACAGGAGATGGTGGCATTGATAATGAAGCATGTCTTGAATGTAAAGTTGTACCTGAAGATGCCTGTGAATGAACATTGGTTTCAATGTAGCACTGGCATATCCCACATACAGATCAGTATTCTGAGTGTGATAAGGATGAAATTGAGCACAACTCTTCAGAGATGTGGGGTTTCATCACTTGAGAGGCCTGTCTTAAAGTGGTTCTTAAAGTAAATTGTTTGAAGATATTGCCAGACATACTCCGGTGGAGAACTTTGAAGTTGTCATGGCTATATGTCTTCAAATCAAGGAGGGATAAAAGAATAAAAGGCTGATAATAAAACTTGAGTAAACATCTCTCTCTAAGAAAGGGCTAATTTCAGAAATCTCTAACCCCAGTGACCTGTATGGACAGAAAAGGAATCTTTTAAATAAATCCTTATGAAATTTTATTGACATGATAACAAAAATATTATTATAAGAGTTCACTTCTTAGAATACCTTAATGACCCACCATTATGGAAAGTAAAGAAGTTTTTAATGTAGTCACTCATATGTGATTAATACCTAACACTTCTTGAATAATATTCTGGATTCTGCCAAGTAAAAATGAGTTAGATAAAATTCTTTAGGTTCTCAGCCAAATCTTTCCTTGGAAATCAGCTATACTCAATTTAAAAATAAGGCATCGGATAGCAACAACAATTTCAGGAACTTACTAGAAATAAGAGTGTTAAGTATTTCTGTGTAAGATATCCTGAGGTATAAAGCTAACTAAGTGAAGATATCCAGACAGTAAAGGCTGTCTTCTTACTGTGCAATGGCAGTTTAAGGGACTTGATATTAGGAACAAATTTTAGTAAAATTCACTGAGAAGATATTTATCATTTGTCCACTTTGGTCTTTAGTTCCTAGATTTACAAACATGAGGTGATGTTTTATCTCAGAAACAATCACTATCAGTTTTTCCTAGAGATGAAATCATATGCTACTAGCAGTCTTAAACAAACCTCATTCTAAGTTTGCTCACTCTGTTTATGGGAACTCAAATGTGAGCCTATTTTTGTTTTCCTTGCACCTTTTCCAAACAACTTAACTTAAGTATAGCTTGTTGAGCCTTGGTTATTTTGGCAGGCACTACCAAAATGCTAATAAGCTAGCTCTAGGTAGTAATACAGCAGCTGAGTTGTGAGTCATCCAGATTAAGATATCTAACCTGAAAGGCTGAAGTGAAGTGAATTACAGTGCTCAAGAACAACACAAAAATTAAGTATAAAGAATCAAATATCATTATTCTTGTCCTTGAGAAAGTGAATTAACTACCAGAGGATACATGTGGGAATTTCCATTCTCTGAACAGGACTTGTGTTGAAGGTGAAGGAAAAACAGAACTTCAGATCCACTCTGCATGTGGAATTCCAGGAAATTAGTGGGATGTTTCATGGACTTGCTGATATGACTGGTTTGTGATCTGTTTATTTTAATGAGTTTAGTTTAATTTTAGAATAGATTTTGTGTTATTGCTGCTGTCCTTTGTCCTGCCATTTCAGTGTTCAGAGTATAGTGATAGCTATAGTGCAAGCAAAGGTGCACAGGAAAAATAGCTCATGATTCTGTAGAAATTTGTGTGGTCACAAATTAGAATAGAGTGATGAGATGAAAAGAATATTTACCATCTCACACCATGCATTTTCAGGAAGTGTCCAACCCAACAGCACTATGCAGGATAGATTAGACAAGGCTCCAAAGTGCTCTAGCTCTGGCCTTTTGCAAATGGATTTAGAGAGTTAGTTTTGTGTAATGTGGTAAAGTATTATCAACGTTTTATATGTGTGTAGGTTACCTATTAAAATGCAGTCTCCTGGAGCTGGTATATGACTGAATTTGTGGCTTTTCCAGTGGAACAAGATGCCACTACAGACTAGTTCAGTTCACAGCACCCACTTTCAGGTGGCTTTACTACTACCTAAAAAACCAGCTTCAGGGGATCTGATATGTTTGTCTGGCTTTATAGTGTGCTCACAGGTGTATTCAATGTACATGAATAAACCACAAAATAATGATTTTTTTTAAAGAAATGCAGTCTCTGCTCAGCGAGTTTGGTTTGGGTCTTGGGAATCCAGTCTTTCCTATGAACAAGCTCCCAGGTGATATGATTGTCACTGATCCCTTGACTACATTTTGTGTAGCAAGACTGTAGTAAGTTCTGAAAAGCAGTGGTTAGACACAAACTCTGTTGAACTTTCTATCTTATATTTTTGAAGACACAGAAGAAATGGAATTTTTGGAACTGTCAAGAATCCTTCCAATATGTTTCAGGAAAACCTGCCACCTCAAAAATCTTTGGAGTCTGTCTCTGTTCCCACTGCTAGCTTGGGCCTGCAGCATCTGTTACTTGGTCTGCTGCAGTTTTTTCTTACCTCTGATCTTCCATTGTTTTCTGCTGTCTATAGAAATGGTTACTTTAAAGAACAAGACCTGTTCATTTCTTTTGCCTACATTGTGGCACTTTATTGAAGCTCTTATTACTTTAAGGACAAAGGCCACAGTGCAAGCCCTTGGCCAAATAGTTCATTCTTGCTTGCCAACCAGACTTATAGTTATTGTCTCTTCAATGTTTATACTTCTAAGTTCAGAAATCTCTAAAATCCTCTCCCCCACTCCTGTGTTCTGCCTTTCTGATTTCTATTCTAATATGTATTCATATTATTTCCCTATCGTCCTTTCTTCTACATTTAGAAGATTCCCACAGTTTCACAGCAGCATAAAATTTGAGGACCTTCTGTTTTTCATTTGCTACTTTTGTGTATAGGATCATTTTCGAATGTTTGTATTTGTATTTCAAAAAATACAAACCTATTTTTTGAAAATGACTTCTAGAAGGACCCATAGTACTTCACCCTTCAAGAAGTGAGTGCCCTATTCTTCAACCTTCTCCTTTGCTGCGTGAAAACCACATTGGTGCTTTCCTTGGGACTCTTTCCTCATTTTCTTGGTTGTTTACTTATTCACTTTGTTGTTAACATGAACATACTGGTGCTTCAGGCTTCTTTCTAAACAACTAGGATGAAGAGAGATAAGCTTCAGAATGCCATGTCATATTTCCCTTTAGGAACTCACAGTCTAGTCTATCAGGGTGGTTTGGGTTTAAGTAAATGATAAAAACCATGATCAGCTGGGATTATCTCACCCAGATAGAATGGTATCTTGGATACAGGGCACATGGTGGGTACCCAGACATGTTTAATAGTTGGCCAACAGAATTAACTTTCATGAAATAAGACATTTAGAGACTTTGACTTTACTAATTATAATAAAATCCCATGTATTTGAAGGACATTATTCCCCATTGCACACCAAATCCCTTAATGAAATGGAAAATAAAAAGTAAAAGTATGTGTGATATCTGAAGTTAACTGAATAATAGAAGTATGTTAAAAATTGAATCTTCAGGAGATCCTGCCCCTTCCCCTTCTTCGGGGTCCATACATTCTTCTCTTAGAGTCCTTCTGGTTTCCTAGTTCCTTTGGTGATGAGGATTGTAGGCTGGTAATCCTTTGCTCTATGTCTAAAATTCATATGAGAGGGGGAGATAAGAAAATGGAGGAACAAGAAGGTTCAGTAGGGGGAAGAATAGAGGAAAGCAGGATGAGAGATTCTGTAACAGTGGGAGCCATTATAGGTCCATGGAGAGATCTGGCACTAGGGAGATTTCCAAGGATGACACCAACTGACAATCTAGATAATGGTGGAGAGGCTACCCTAAATGCCCTTCCCCTATAATCAGACTGATGACTGCCTTACATGCCATCCTAGAGCCCTCATCCAATGGCTGATGGACTCAGTGGCTGACACCCACAGCCACTGAACTGAACTGAACTGTGGAACCCAGTTGCAGAGAGGGAGAAGTGAAGAGCAAAGAGGTCGGGACCAGGCTGGTGAAACCCACAGAAACAGCTGACCAGAACAAGGGGGAGTGCATGGACCCCAGACTGATGTCTGGGAGGCCAGCATGGCCTCTGAACGTGGAGGTCAATGAGGAGGCCTCGGCACTCTATGGGCTCCCTGGTAGTGGATCAGTATTTACCCCTGGTGTAAGAAGACTTTGGGAGCCCATCACATGGAGGGATGCTCTCTCAGCCTGGACACATGGGGGAGGGCCTAGGCCCTGCCCGAGATGATATGATTGACTTTGGGGAACCCCCACGGAGGGCCTTATCCTCCCTGGATGGCAGGGGGGAGGGGGAAGGCAAGGAGCTGGTGGGGGGTTGGGGGAAGGGGAAGAGAGGGAGAAGGAGTTGACATGTGAAGTAGCCTTGATTCTAATTTGAACTAATAAAAAATACTCTCTTGGGAAAATTGAATCTTTGACAAATTATGCATTTGCTTATTCAGTACTTGCTCCATAGCAAAACGTATAGGCACTAACACTAAAGACATTCCAAAAAATCATACAGAAACCTATCACTGTAGAAATGTCCTAAAATTTATACATAAACATTTATATGATGATTTTAAATAGAATTACTCTATAATAGGGCAGCAATGCCTCTACTAGACACAAGGGGATAACAAAACCAAAATGCAGTGCCAAGAATGGGCTACCTCTTTTGGAGTTGTTAGCAATAAGGCCCATAGACATTCCAAACAGGTTATTGTTAGTGCTCTTGGTTACTCTCTAGACCTTAACAGTAAGTCCCAATTGCAGAAGACACCACTCATATGAAAAAACCAAGATGGTACCGACCTGGAAGCTTTAGAACCACTGGAGAGTCTTCACAGAACTAAAATATATTATGGATGTTACTAGAGGAAAATCAGAATCACTAATCTTAAGCAGTTATGAATTCTATAGCAATGGCTGACCTTGGAAGACGTGCCTACTTGTACACAATAGTGGCATGAATATCACCGAAGTAACCAACCACTTTTTTTTGTTGTTTTGAGTTAGGGCCTCCTCCATAAGTTGAAACCCATACCTGGAACTGTTATCAAAACTAAGAAACTGTGTTAAG